CAGGAGCTGCCAGCGCTGCGGGGACGCCGTGTCAGCACCCAGGGACGGCAGCACCGGGGACTGCCTGGACCCGGCGTGGTGCATCCCCCCGGCGCATGGGGATGGGGTGGGATTTTGGGTGGGGATGGAGGTGAGACTGGGATGGGGAAGGGATTGAAATGGGATTGAGAGAGGGATAGCATGGGGACAGGGATGAGATGGGGACGGGACTGAGACGGTGACGGGATTAAGACAGCGATGTCAGCAAGGATAGCATTCGGGTGAGGTTGGGAATGAGACAGCGGTGGGGACAGGGATGGGATTTGGCTGGGAGTGAGAGTAATAGGGATGGGGACAGGGATGGGATTCAGACGGGGATGGGACTGAGAGTGATGTGAGCAAGGATGGGATTCAGGCGAGTTTGGGAGTGAGACAGGGTTGGGGACAGGGACGGGATTTGGCTGGGATGGGACTGAGATGGCAATGTGGACAGCGCTGGAATTTGGATGGGGATGGGACTGGGATGGGGACGGGACTGAGAGGGGGACAGGGACAAGGATGGCTGAGATGGGTTGGGGACGGAGGCGGGAGGGCCCCCGCCGCACCGCCCTCACCTCGCGCAGGGAGCCTTTGCAGCGCAGGCGCTTGTAGAGGACGGTGCAGGGGATGGCGAAACCAGGGCTTGGGGATGTCCCCAGCGGCTGGTGGCACCTCCCAGACAGATGTGGGACAGGGGTCTTACACCCCCGTGGGCTGCAGCACAGGAGGGCAGGAGCCAGCAGTGCCGGGTGCTGCAGTCCCATCCCCACATGCCGGTGGCCCCAGTGCATGTCACCGCCCCGCCAGCATCACCTTCCCAGTTGACTTGACGCCCTTCCAGATGCAGAAGTAGACGACGACCCAGGTGGTGACCAAGCAGAGGATCATCTGCCAGTTCATCTCCCCCGGCTCGCTGAGGCCTCCTGAGAGCCGCAGCACCTTGTTCCTGCAGAGCAGGGCCGTGCTGAGGGCCAGCGCGACCCCCCCGGCCCCAGGTGAGAACCCCCCGGTCCCCCCACTCACTCCCAAAACTCGATGACAGGTGAGCGCTTGCTGGCCAGGTCGGCACAGCTGAGGTTGAAGGGCGCAGTGCCAGCGCTGGCGTTGCTGCTGCCATTGCGGCAGAGCTCGAGGT